CTGAAGATGTCCAAAATGAAAGAATTGGATTCATCCATGATATGACAGTTTCCCTGCTGGATAAAAGAGGATTAAGGTTCAATTCCTATCAGAAGTACAATCTTTTTTTTTTTTTTTAGTAGGACTTCTCAATCTAGCTAATGTCACTGATTAAGAAAAAAAAACGTGGTTAGCAACACAAATAGATATACCCAGTAAAAATAATAAAAATAACGTTTATAGTTAGTTATAGAAGATTATTTTATCCGAGATTATATCTTTATAGATATAATCTCGGATAAAATAATCTTCTTTTTAATAAAAATACACTTAAATTAAATTATAGCTGTATAGAAAATCTGGAAAAAATTATTAAAAAACATAGTAATAAAATTTTAAATCAATACTAAAACCTAAGTAATAATTGCCATTCCAAAGCAGCAAACGTTAATGATACAAACATGTGTAATTGTAGAAATCCTAACGAGTGTCCATTGCAAAATAGGTGTCAAACCGATTCCCTTGTTTACATAAGTACTATTTCGACTATAGAAAATCCAACAGTTAAAAAATTTTATATCGGCAGTACCAAGAATTCCCTTAAAGGTAGTTGTTAACAACATATATTATCTTTCAACACAACGCGTACAAAATAGTACGTACCTTTGTAAATATTTTTGGTACTTAAACGAAGTCAAGAAAACCCTGACGGTAAAATGGGAAAATTTAAAAAAAAACAAAAAGTACTTGTAAATCTTTACATGATCCATGTTTCCTGTGTTTACAGGAAAAAATGCCATATTATCAAGTTTGCTAACAAAAAAAGATCTGTTAAATCAAAAGAAGTGAATTAACGGTGAGATGCCGACATAGTCTATCTTTCACCTTAAAATATAGTTAAAATATGTTTAATAAAAAACAATTACGAATTACAATTTGATAGCCATCATTCTATTAGTATATAATGGTCCACCCTCTATGGGTAATTACTTTATCTGGTTTATTCAACTTTACTAAGGTTTACCGTCGTTTCAGTATTATTAGCATTGTATATAGATGTTCAACATTTTTTGTTTTATCTGCAGGCCCCTTTCAAAAGCTTCCAGAATATTTTTTAAATTTGTTTCTGGTAAATTTACGTCTGATTAACTCCCACCACCACCAACCAATAGAACATAATATTTGGTTACATTCATGATATATTTTTCGCTGACATATTCTCCACAATCGTGAAGGATGACATGTCCACGCGCCGGTTTAACGTGACATGAAAAAATAACTCGCCCACCTCCCCACTCTGACCTTGTTTTTCTATTTAGCATAGATCAAGCTTTTAATTGATTAATCGAGACATAGCCACAAGTCTATTTTTAATTCTGACCTTATGCCCCACAACCATTAAAGTTTCGGAAAAGAGGTAATGATTTGCTTTTAAATTTCCCTAAAAAATCATTTTTATCACAAGTTACCAACCATTGCCTGAAGTACAATCATAGTATAGAAACGGAAAAGCTTTTCTGTAGCGTTTTAAAAAGTTTTTGTTATAATCTATTATAATAAAAATATTATATATATATATATATTGGGTGGGGGAAATATTCGTACACATACAAATTTTAAATTTATTGCATTTAAAAGTAATGAATAAACATACTTTTCATATAATTAACTGTACACAGATGCATAATAACTAAATTTGCATAGAAAACAGAAAAAATAGATTTAACAGAAATAAATCCCATTTATCCATTTTAATGGGTGAAAAAATTATTCGTAAAATACGAAAAAGAATATATAATCATCATTTAATACTTTGTAGAATCACCATTATTCACTTCTACAGCAACCAAACTCTTCTTGTAGTTCTCAATTAATGATTTGCAAATTTTAATTGGTATTTGTTCCATTCTTCTTCGCATATGGTCTTCAGATCCAGGATGTTTGTTGGAACTCTCGATTGGATTTGAATTTTGCAAATAACGCCACAGATTCTTGACTGGGTTAAAATCTTGGGACTGACTTGGCATTTCAAGATATTTACATTATTTTCGGCAAGCCATTTCTTCATAGATTTTGCAGTGTGCTTAGGATCATTATTTTGTTGGAAGATTCAATCAGAAGGAAGTTCAAGGTTTTCAACTAAATTCATTAAATTTGCTTCCAAAATATTTTGATATGCTACGAAATTCATTCTACCATCTATTACTGATATGTTGCCAGTACCTTTTGCAGAAAAAACATCCCCAAACCATGATGCTGCCACGATCAAATTTCACTATTGGGACTGTGCTCATTTGTTTGAAGGCATCGCCATCTTTCCTCCATACATAATATCTAGAGTTACGTCTAAACAACTCAATTTTAGTTTCGTCTGTCCATAATACTCTTTCCCAATACGATCTTCCCTTATCCTTATGTTCACGAATGAATTTCAGCCTGGCATCTCTGTGTCTTTTCAATAGCAGTGAGGTTTTCTGAGAGGAGCGTGAATTTAGATTGTTCCTATGAGTTTCATTACGTATTGTCCGTTTAATAACACAGATTCCTGATGAAAGCAAATCATCCTGCAACTCTTAATGAGTAACCATTCGATTTTGTTTAATTTGACGCATTAATTTCCTCATTTTGCAGAAATCTTCCGTGAAGCACTTGTTCTTCTTTGGTTTTCAACAGTTTTGAGGTATTTTTTATACCTTACAATAAATGAACTAATGTTAATAAATGGAATATTCAGGTAGTCTGTATATTTTTAGATTTATTTCTGTAGATTTTTCTGTAACTTTTACCTTCTTTCCAGAGCTTAACAATCAGTTCTTTTTTTCGAATTTGTCAATTCTTTACCTCTTGCCATAATGAAAAACTTCTTGCACGAATATCAATTACAAAATGTTCTGTTTGTATTTGATAGGCTAAAAAAATAACGACTGATAACATTATTGGAACATTCTAGAATATTCAACATTAATGATCTAGAGTATTAAAGCGATGTAAAAGTTTTAAAATCTGAAATTTACATTGTACGAATATCTTTTTCACTCCTTAAAAATGGTTAAATGGGATTATTTCTATTAAATCAAAATTTATCTGTTTTCTATCCATATTTAGTTATTATGCATCTGTTTGTAGTGAATTATATGAAAAGCATCTTTATTCATTACTTTTAAATGCAATAAATTTAAAATTTGTATGTGTACGAATATTTCCCCACATGCAAATATAATCGACTCATCCACAAAAAAGGCTAAAAAATAATGAAAGCATTATTAATAAAAAGAAAAGGCAAACTCTCAATAATATTATCTATGAACACGGCCACAAGGTGTTGACCGTTTTTAAAAATAAAATATTCCTATAACTCTAGATAGATACATAAGACAATATTCAGTTAAAATTAAAATAAAATTCATCCTTGGATAATAGCCAAAAGCACTCGGACATATAGAACATTTGGACAATTTCTATATAATTTAAGTCCAGAAAAGACAAAAATTATGAGAACACAAGAAAAATTAAATAAAAATAAACTTCACCGCCGTACGTTGTCAGTCATTTTCATGAAACTTGTATAAAAGAGGGATTGGTGCCGAAATACACAATTATATGCATACAGGGTGCGATCAGTAAATTGTTGCCATTTTATATTTTTATTTTCGGGGATTGCGTGTTGTTTGTTTTTGATTTCGTTGACTGCACAGTATAGTAGGGTCAGTTGGGCACCGTCTCTGGGTAAAAGAGCCCAATAACACAATTCATTCGGCCAGAAATTTGGAAATGGTATGCTGAATGGTATGCTTTGTATTCACACCGAAAGTTCCAATACGAAAATTTCAAAATGTTTGGGTGTCAATCTGAGGACAGTGCAGAGGATTGGTTGAATGAGTTGGATGATAAATCCAGTTACCATCATGATGTTTGGAGTGATCACTAGTGATGGCAATGTTATACCTCCATTCATCTTCCCACATGGCCTCAGGCTCAACACCGGGGCCTACATCAAGTGCCTTGAGGAGGTAGTTCTGACCTGGGTCAAGACGGTGACTACTGGAAGATCCTTTATCTGGCAACAGCACTCTGCACCATGCCACACAAGCAAAAAACAATTTCTGCGACTACATTACCCCTTACATCTGGTCAACCAACTCCCTAGAGTGTAACACCCTTATCACGTGTTAAGCGAAGTTGAGCAAGAGACCAACTTAATTCCTTGTAACACCAAAGCTGAACTGAAGGCATGGTACCATTCACCAAATGTCCAGAAGAGTTGCAGGCGATTCTGTAGTAGTCTAAAGACTGTGATTGAAGCCAATAGCCATTTTCTGGAATAAATTTACTCTTTCTTATTTCAAGATATTTTTGCATAATTTTGGTAAATACACTGTTAAAATGAGATGTCAGTGTTATTTTCATTTTGGCATCATTTAGACGACAATTTATCCATCGCGCCCTGTATAACTGTCAAAATGAGATGTCAGTGTTATTTTCATGTCATTTAGACGTCAATTTATCCATCGCATCCTGTTCATATATATATATATATATATATATATATATATATATATATATATATATATATATATATATATGATATGAGAGAGAGAGAGAGAGAGAGAGAGAGAAAATGAATGTAAAATTTAGGTTAAAAACTTTAATATATTTGGTCTTTCAATTTAAATGCGCTTTCCAAAAGACATTCCATTAAAGATATCTCTGTCAATTTATCAACATTAATAAATGAACGAATAAACTCAAATAACGTTATCACCGAACAAATATCAACATCTATCTATCGACACAATATATAAGATGACACTTATGTAATGTGATTTCATAATTTGGCTTCCTGGTTTTATATTCTTTCACAGAAACATTAAAGTAAAGTAAAGTGACATTTTATTGATTTTTCTGCAGTCTTTCGTTGAAAACTTCCAATATTTGGAGAATTTTTGCAGAAAGCAAACCAAATGTTGGTCTTTTTCAGTTCTATCACTTGAAATTTCCGATTTATTGATAATTAATCAGCCATGTGCTCTGGTCATTGGAGTTCGTTCTTGTTGCAGTTTAAAAGACATTTTCTCTTTCTTTTTTGTTTTTCTCTTTATTTTTATTTTTCCTATTCTTTTTTTCATTCCTTCTTTCACTTTTTTCCATCATTCCCTGCATTTATCGTTCCTAATAATTATTTTATTATCGTTTTTTGTTTTCTTTCCTTCATCAATTCTTTTTTCATCCTTTTCTTTCTAATCAGTGTTTATCCATATATTTTCTGTTTGTACTTTTTCTTTTTCATTCCCTTTCATTCCCTAACTTCCTTTCATTATCATGTTTCATTCTTTTTTTTCTTCAATTAGTTTTGCTTTTGCTTTTCCTGATACTCATTCAATCTTTTTTTTACACATTTTTCAATCTTTTGTAGTTTCTTTCATTTTTTAATCTTGTTTTTTTTTTCTTTTGTTTTGTCGTTTTTCTTCTTTCCCTACATTCCCCGCCCTTTCTTATTGTCTCTCTTTCTTCTCCATTTCCTCCTCCTCTCTCTCTCTCTCTCTCTCTCTCTTCTCCAGTTCCTCTTTTTCTCTCTCTTCTCCATTTCGTCTTTTACTCTCTCTCTCTCTTCTCCAGTTCCTCTTTTCTCTCTTTTCCATTTATTATTTCCCTCTCCCTCTTTTTCTCATTATTATTCCCCCTCTTTCCCATTTATTCTTTCCGCTTTCATTTCCTATTCTTCCGCCTTTCCATTGATCTATTGTTAAACTGGAAAAGATTTCCTTGTTTCCCGTTATTTTAGTCGTAAAGTCAACAAACTCAGGCTTTATATGATTAACGAAATACGATAAGAAATTGGTTTGAAACAGGATTGAGTTGAAATTCTTTAGACTCTCACAATGTTTCGATTAATTCAGTTAAGCAATGAAGCAATTTAATATGGATTCACAATAAGAATTGTGATTAAAAGGAATGATTAGAAAATCTAATTCAAACTAGATAGAGTAATAAAGCTATTTGGAATTCTTTCTCTGCATATTTACCTTACTATCTATTTAATTTTTGTCACATATATATATATATATATATATATATATATATATATAATATATAAAGAACAACAGTAAGATATATAATCCGGTGTTCTTATAGATATTTTTATTTTTACAAAATAGTGCTCAATATAAATTTACAGAGAATTAATATTATAAATTAATTGATTTAAAATATGTTTTTTTTCGCTACACAATTCTAACCATGTTTCAAAAATGAAAGCTAAAAAATGCTTCGAATTTAATTTTGTAATTATCATCCTCAAGCGAATTTTGGATTAACTTATTTATTACTGGGTTTTAAAGGCACAGCAAAAAATCATAATTCACGTTTCCAAGGATACAGAGAAATCCAATTCAACCAGACAAGGTGTGTTTGCGTGTTCATTATCGCTGTATTTTGATGTATCAGTTATTAGTTATGTTTTGGTAGGGGTAGGGATGTATTTTTCAATGAAATCTGACATCCGTTAAATGCATGTCGTCTGGATTTTTTAAAATTTTATTGTTAACGGCAAAAATTCTTAAGGCATTTTTTTTTATTTGTATATTTAAAGAATTTTGGGGGGTGTTTAGGTTAGAATACGTTTTATTTAACTACGATTTGAAAACTATTTTCACTTTTAATTTTTAATATACTATATTTCCTTTTAAAACAAGTAAATGTATTAGAATGTATGTATTACAGTATGTAAAATTATTTTCACATCAAGGATAAGTATGTATATTATTAGGTCACAATTTATATTTAAATATTATTTAAGTAAAATTCATGACAATTACGGCAAAATAGCTATTTAATTTCTCTGATTTAGTAAACTTTTATTTTTCTATAAACTTAGTAATATATAGTGTCTCATGTATGTACAAAGGACATGGGTCAATTCAATGGCCTACATCTTCTAGCTTTTCATCATAATTTCATTTTACTGTAGGTGTTTTATTGGGTTCATTTAAGTGCCGGTAGTACTTTTTGAGATGTGTTTAGGTTAGAATACGTTTTATTTAATTACAATTTTAAGGGATGTTTAGATTAGAATTCGTTTTAACTACAATTTTAAATACAACTTTAAAATATTTTCACTGTTATTTTAATAGACTGTATATATATATATATATACATATATATATATATATATATATATAAAACAAATAAATGTAATAGAATTACTTACAGTATATAAAATTATTTTTTCACATTAAATATGTATATTACCTGGTCGCACTTTTTAAATTTATTTTTATTTTTAAACATTATTTAAGGAAAATTTTTCACAATGACGGCATAAAATAGCTATTTCATTTCTCTGATTCAGTAAATTTTTATTTTTTATAAACTTAGTAATATATAGTTTCTCATGTATGCACAAAGGACATTTAATTTAATGACCTACATATTCTAACTTTTCTTATTAACTTCCATTTTATTGTAGGTATTTTATTTGATTCTTTTAGGTGCCAGAAGTACTTCGAGAGAGATGTTTCATTTATATATATATATATATATATATATATATATATATATATATATTCGTATGTGTTCATCTTCCTTTGCGTTAATGGTATATTTTTCGCTGACCACCAGCAAGGCGACAAAAGCCACAAAGACACAAAGAGATTGCCAAGAGGGAAAGAAATCGAGGTGACAATGAAAGACCTGGATTCAAGGAGACCAAAGATGATGATTGGCGTTGTATTTAAATTTTAAAAGATGGTAGTTGACAGAAAATTAAGAAGACGAGCGAGAGTTCCACGAACGTAGGGGGGGGGAGAAACTATTAGCATAGAACTCACGATTACAATTAGCAGTTTGAACAGAGAAATTATGAGTCCTAGATGACAATTTAGTACTACGCTGAAATTTATAAAATCGAGGTATCAAAGAGGAAAACTCATCAGATCAATTACCGTGAAAATGCAATGGAAAGCTACGTTTGGAAGAGGGGGATTGAAGCCGAGATGCCAGGTTAGGATCGATAACGTTGCAGATTCTACTTTGGATTTTGTCCAGAATCTCTAAGAAGCACCAGACCATATTTGACAACAATATTCGTTTCATAAACAATATTCGTTTCATAATAGATTTATAAATGTACAAAATAGAGTCTGTCAAGAAAAACTGTCTAGTCTGACAAATTGAACCAACTTTCCTGGTAGCAGATATAGCAATTGATTCAATTTAATTATCCCTGTTTATGTCAAGGGAGGACATAAGACTGAGAAGGCGCAATGAGTTGTACTCACGGAGGTTAGCATCAGCCATGCTGGTGGAAGGCAAAAATTGTTCTCTAACATGAATAAAAGACAGCAGTTTTGTTTTAGAGACATTAAAATGAACTAGCATTTTCTTTTGCCCCAGTAGATTGTAGATCACTTTCGAGATTAACTGCCATTTACAATTAAGACAGGGTTAAACAGTTTTGCCATCAGCAGAAATCCCTTGTCGGGAACTGATGACATCGGGAAGTCGTTGAGGAAGATAAAGAACAAAGTAGGTCTGAGGACGGAGCCATGGCAGATACGGTATCTAGCCACCCCACCCCCCACGAGGGTTGCATGTGGCACAAGGCCGAGTTTATCGTGGGTTTCCCGAGCCCGTAGGCTCGGCCAAAAAATGCCCGTATAACCCGTATAAACGAGATCGGGTTGGTCATTTCTCCCCGAACGAGATTCTGCCCTTCGGCGGAACCTCGTCCGGGTTCCTTTCTGCTCAAAAGCAGAGAGTTCGACCGTCAAGTCGAGAAGCTCGGCTTGATTCGACATGGAAGATACATGGGAGATACTCGCCTTAATGCAAAACCGTCGAGAAATGAGGATCAGAAACGCTATAATACTTTAAATTGTGAAGACGACCAGCATGCTAAACTCATTCAAGTCCTTTTGAGATATCTAAGGTAACAGCCCAAGCTTCGTCATTCTGACAAATTATTTCAGTAATAACCGCCAATATATCGGTGGTTGGCATAGAGAATATGAAAGCCATATTGTTTGTGAGAAAGAAAAGCCTTCCAGGTGAGATGATTATACAAGTTGATTATAGCCTCTAGTATTTTATCAAAAAGTGGTAGAAGGCAACTGGGTCGATAGTTTAAAAGATCAGACGGTTCATCAAATATCTTAAAAAGAAGAGCTTTCTGGCAAACAAAACATTTAGTGTAGAGTTTAGAGAGAACAGTGGCCATGAGTATATTCGTTATAGACAACTGTAAGGATAACATCGAGTCTACGTGCTTTGTGGGAATCAAATTTGAAGATGACAGCGAAAAGAAGATAACACTTTAAACTAATTGAAGAGAGGAGGATTGAGGATTTGCTCTTATTTAACACGCCTTTAGTTGTCAGTTAGCCTCATTGAGGACACTATTGCAATTATTGCGAGCGGATATAAAGGGACACCTGTTGTGATTAGAGCAATAATGTTGGTCTAACTATAAAATAGTTATTTGTGTGAACTATATCGGCTGGACAGACAGGTATGAAGAAAAGATTGTGATTTTATCTCATATTTACAAGATGACAGAAAAGAAGAAATTTCACTGTCTCAATTTTCAATAGGTCGATTAAAGACTTCACTCCAAGGTTCATCGCAAAGAAAATCATGAAATCAATCCCAATTTGTACGTTGGTAACAGAAAAAGTCTTGTAAATTATGAGTTCCTGTCTAATAAATGAATAAAAAAGATATATTAACAAATATTACAGCGTCATCTGAATTGCGAAGACTGTAGAGTTGCGATGTTCAACAAGAGCCTGAAAAGGTAAGAAATAAAGCGAATAAAAAGGTATGTTGGTCAAAACTGTTAGAGGAAACTAGTGGATAAGTCTACTATTTGACTGGGAAATAGTCTATTCATTTCTCATTCTTTTTCCTCTCTGTGTGTGTGTGTGTGTGTGTTAATGTCTATCTATATGACTAGCTAAATACCGAACTTATATATCTCTACAGCTATTTATGCATATCTATATAATTTTCTCAGTTTTTTCTCTCTTTTTATCTATCAGCTTGTTTCCTTTTCTATGTCTGTGTACCCTATTCAACCAACTATTTATCAAGATATCAATGTAAACGTTTCGTCATTTCGTCTAAATAACACTTCTTATTGACATGTTTCCAAACAAGAAAAGAAAATGTCTCCACCACAATGAAAAAATAGCAAATTATTATAGTAAACAATGTTTATTTAGACACAAACTTTCAGGAACTCATCCACCAGAAAGTTGTCTTCACATGAAGACGGAATCAATTCCAAATATTTTTGGCCAGGGACGTCGTCTCCATTTTCCAGTCTTTAAACTGTAAAATGATGACTGTACTTGATTCATTGGGTTCAAAATCAGACGTAACGACGTCATTGATTTTGCTTATAAGGGCCACTGTATTTTAGCATCCAAAATATCGATATATCTGTTCGATCTGTCAATATTTTCCTATCAATCAACAGGCCCACCTGTGCTTCTCAATGCGACGTTTTCAAATCAATATCACAGATTTGTATACGTCTATTTTTAAATATTTCTATTCAGCCATACCTATATCAGTCTGTTAATCAATATATGTGGATGAAATGAAAAGTTCTCAGTTCGACCTACTTCCCACAATGACCAAACATCAGAATACTGATATAGGAAAGTTTCTTTGGGCCGATAATTTGTCAGAACCCCTTCATAAAAGTCTTTAAATTCATATGTCCGTCTATTATCCGTCAGTATTCAAT